CTCTCTCTCTCTCTATCTCTGACACACACACACACACACACACATAATATACACATACACTCAACTAATACGCACACACACAAACACACACACACACACAAAGAACACACACACACACACACACTTACACACACACACACACACACACACCTACCCACCTCTTTTTGCGTTATAAGCCAGTCAGCCGTCCATGAAGAAACACAACTTGAAAAAAGCGCCTGAAATCCTGCTCCCTCCTCATTCATCCCCTCCTTCACCCTCAAAAAAGGAAAAATCTTAAAACAACAAAAACAAATATTATTAAAAAAGTAAAACACAGTTTGAAGAATTAAAATCCCCAAATGTCACCACAACACACAACTAATCAGACACCAGGAGAATGCGACTTATTAACACAGAATGCTTCATTAGAAACGTTAGTCCAACTGAATCTCTTTATGTGTAAGTGACGAGACGGAAATCATAACACAACCTTAAGTCAGCGTGAGCGATCATCAAAGTGAGCAAGATTCACGTGAAAGAAATGCTGCAAGTGTCAAGTGAGCCATTGAGTTGATTGTTCGTTCACACAATAGTGAGGCAAAGCTTTCACGGACGGCCTGAAGTGAAGGAGATTTATTGGGGAAATGTTAAAATTGTAAAAGTTGCCCGTAAGAAAAACGTATGAAAGAAATGCGCGGTCTTTATATGCCCTATTGTAACTGTTGCTGTAGGTGTTGGTGGTGGTGTTGTTGTTGTTGTTGTTGTTGTTGTTGTTGTTGTTGTTGTCATTGCCGGTGCTGTTTTGTTGTGCTGTTGTTGTTGTTGTTGTTGTTGTTGTTGTTGTTGTTGTTGTTGTTGTTGTTGTTGTTGTTGTTGTTATTGTGTTATTATTGTTGTCATTGCTGTTGGTGGCGGTGATGGAGGTGATAGTGGTGTTGCTGCTGTTGTTGTTGCTGCTGTTGTTGTTGATTGTGGTTGTTGATTATTGTTGTTGTTGTTACTGATGTTGTTACGGTAGCTATTATCTATTGTTATCGTGTTTATGTTGCTGTTATTATA